GAAGATATTGATTTTGCTCAATCTATTTCCCACTTCCTTTGTAACAATCCCTAATAATCTTCATAATGAAGCTAAATCAATAGTAACACAAGTGTGGAATTCAATATTTGGGAAAACCCAGGTAATTCTTCTTTCTGTCCATGCATAAATATCAATTGCATTTTTGCAGTTTGCTTCAATGCTTAGATAAGGCAAGTATAATCCTTGCTGTGTGGATGATAAAATACATCTAAGATGACATTAAAAATCATCATGACCATCTTTTTCAGTATCATTATTATCCTAGCTACTAACAATCGAGAATTTCCTAAATGCCAAGCCTCCTAGCATTTTCTCTGTATTAATTCATTTAATCTTTCCAGCAAAGTTGTAAATAGGCAGTGCTATTTTCCCCAGACTCCTAAGACCCTAAGAAATGCATAAATGTAAAAAGTTAATTTCAATGCAATGTGATGTTGCTATGAATTATATGTGATGTTTAAAATAATGCCTACAAGCAGCTTTCAGTGCTAATATGCAAAGAAAATTAAGATTCCTCTTTCCCCACAAACCCCCTGCTTTTGCAGAAAGAGAGAGAGAAAGAAATCTAAAAGTCTTTAAATATTTTTATTTTCAATCTTGTCTCTTACTTTTCTAACTTTTCAAGGACAGAGTCGCCAGTGGTAATGGTTACAATTGCTTCGTATAAGTGATGTTTGAGAAGTTATTTGTTCAGATAGAGAAGGTAATACAGATGCTGTGATGTGATCCAGCGCCTTCCTGAATAAGGGGAAAGGGCATACCAATTGAGACGTAAGCAAAGGAGCTCTCCTTGGGAATTTAAAGCCCTGTTTCATTTTCTGACCTCACTACATAGACTTCCACACCATCCAGGGCTGCCATTGGATAATAACTGTGCCCAATAACCCCAGGGACCCAACCAATTTATCATGGACGCTGCTGGAGAGATTTTCGGTTTCTTGCACCCCAGTCTTGGGCTGTGGGGTCTAGGGAAGCCAAAGGGTTGCTAATTGCCATGTTAAATTCTCCTGGCCTCAGCTATTCTCTCCCTTGTGTCTCTCAATCTCTCAGTCCAATTGGGGACGTCTGCGGGAATTTATCTGCACGCCAGGAGCTCAAAAAGCATTTACTGCTAGCCTGTGTGTATCAGCAGAGGAGAAAGGTGGTTTCCGTCAGGGTGGCTGTGCTCTGCATTTTATGATGCCATTTCATAATGGGAGGTTGCAATCTTCTGCTGACTGTAAGATAAAAGGGGAAGGAATTCACAACAACTTGTGTTTGGGGAAATGTTTTCTTGAATTTAAGGTTATCTATCACGATAACAGTTATTACTAATGTCCTTATCTGATGTTGTCTAAATAAAGTCCATTAACTGACTTTACATTGCTGGGCCCCGTTGCTCTAACTTTATTATAGCTGTAGATACCCTGTTCAAAATAATAATTCTAGAATTGATTTCTACTCCATCTTTGCTTAAAGACCCTTGACATCTGTACTGGATTTCTAGAGTTTAAGATATTTGTGATATTGAATAGAGGCTTGAAGAAGATATTATGTCAACAGAATCTGTAAGTGCCCTTTTGTATTCAGGAATTTAGACAATTTAATTATATGAATACACAATAGGTAGCTCAGGGTATCTACAAACTTAAAATTTCTTCTAGATACATTGGATATACTCCCAATCTTTTCCCAAATTCACCGTGTAACTATGGAAAAATCTGTTTAAAAAATAATTATGCATGATAACACTCTGACCCTACCTCTTAAGTGACCTAAAGCAACATAAAAATACATTTTTTCTATAGCACATTCATACATGAAATGCTACAATTCCATTTACTGATATCTATTTGGCAAGTAGATTCATTGTATCAAAGTGAAGAGAATGATATTTTTTCCAAAAGCGAGGTCACGTTAATAACTCTCATCTCTAGGCAGCAGTAGGAGAGGCAGTGAGATGATGTTTGGTGCATTTGAACATTGCATATGACTTATCATATGACTTATCAACAGAAGTGTACTCATGTAATCCATCCACAATGAAGGAATGTCACAAGGGGACTTGGTTTGGCTCTTGGTGGGTATGTTCTCCAAACTGAGGAATGGAGGCTATTGTCCACAATCACTAAAGGGTTAGAGACCTGTAGCTCATTCCCAAACCAGTTGTACTTTGTTCACATTCCTTTATGTTCCTCCCTTTCAAGATGTAACTAAGATCCCAGTCTTTTCAGGGGAAATCTAATGTGGTAGAAAGAAGACTAGTTTTGAGTAGAAGATAACTCAGTTGTGGTATGGTTTCCACCACAAATAAGGTAGAAGATCCTGGACTAACTCATGAATATTTTGGAGATGTAGATTCTCTAGCTGAAGTAATGAAAGTAAGATTGTCTATGCTTGCAGAATCATTTGTGAGAACTGTATAAAAAATTAAGGAATAAACTACCTATATTTTGGATATCAAGGGTCCCCAAAGACTCACTTGTTAAAACCATGCTTGTCAACCTGTGGTGCTACTGGGAGATGGTGACACTCTTTCCAGTTGATGCCTAGAAGACAGATACTAGATTATTGAGAATGTGCCCTTAAAAGGGATATTAATAGTCCAACACTTTCTTATTATCCTACATCTTACTATAGGTCCATCAGGATGGGCACAAGCAAGGGAGAAGGAAGGAGAGGGAAATCTCTACAATAAGACTTACATTACTTTGGACAAGGATAATGAGGCAGACGAGGAGTATGAAGGGCATACAAAATGGATAGAGCGTGACATGTTACTCATTAAAAGTGACATTTCTTTATTTTTTAAAAAAGATATATTTGGTTTTTCACTGTGTGTCTGTATGTCTGTGCACATGAGCATAGATGCCTGTAGATGTCAGAGGCATTGGGTTCCCTGGATCTAGAATTATAAGAGGCTGTGAGTGGCTCAGCATAAGTGCTTGGAACCAAACTCAGGTCCCCTGTAAAAGCAATATATGCTCTGTTCCACTGAGTCGTGTCTCTAGGCCCGGGGTGGACTTTTTCCCCCTCAACCTTCTTTTGACAAAGGTGTGAAACATGTCCTTCCCTTATTAGCTGTAATATGAAATTTTACAGATGCAGATTGGCATTATGTTGTCACTATTTGCTGATCAATATCATAAAACTGAGATCTCCTAAAACTAGAGCAAAGCATTCTAAATATACTCATTATCAACTAGAAAATTGTGAACGCAGCCCATGCCTGAAACTTGATTAAAAAAAAAATACTAGTTTTACTCTAAAGTATGAAGGGGGAAAGACTGGGAAGAGTGAGGCTCTGAGAACTCAGGAATCTCATGAAATTTACAAGACTTGAGGAGCACTTGAAGCTGGAAAGTCTCCTTCCCACGATTACAGAAGGAATTGCTAGAGGAGAGGAGACTGGTAGAGATTCCTACAAGTTGGGCAGGAACCTCCAGCCACTTAGCATTCATGAGATGTCACCATGCTGCTGTGGGCTTTGTAATATTGAAGCTAAGTCAACCATACTCCTGTAAGTATCTCCCCATTCATGTGTCGACACACAGCCCCAATAAACTCATTGGTTCAGTGAGCAATGTTTGGTAGAATCATTCTTCATGAGCCATTGGTTCTCCAATTGGAGTGAACGTAAGTTTTTGTCTTCTTATGAAATCACAGAACATCATAGGTGTCTCCATCAGCATTCAGGAAGCTAAAATCCTCTGAACTTACTCAGAAAGTTCACTTCTATTGTTCCAGTGTGTCACCTCCCAGTTCCAGGTGTTGAAAATTAATGGCCAATGGAAAAGTGTTAACAAGTGGCAACTGTAAAGGTGCTTAGGCCAACAGGGATCAGTGTGTGGGTAGCTTCAGGCTGTTTGGTTGCCTTCTCTTCTGCTTTATGCCATGTGAAGACACAACGGTCTTCCCCTTGAAAGGATACCGAAACAAGAAGCCATCAGGGAAGAAGAAAAGCGTTCATGCTGCAAAAGCAATTCCCTTAGTATCTTGGCATGTACTTCAAGTCCCCAGAACTATGGAAGCAGATTTCCATTCTTCATAAGTCATCCATTATCTTGTTATTTGTTTTTTCTTTATTTTAATTTCAGTAATATGTGCACACACATGTGTGTGTACTCATGTGTGTGAGTTGTATGTATGTATGTGTACTCACATGTGGGAGTATGAGCCATATGTCAATGTTAGTTTCTTCCTGTCACTCTTTCAACATCATTACTTTATGAGACAGAATCTCTGAACCTGGAGCTAAAGGAATTCAACAGTTAGGTGAGGCCTAGTCAAAGACCAACAAGTACCTGCCTTCCTAGGGATGGAATCACAGTCTTGCCATGTTTTCATGTGGGTACTGTACATTTGAACTGAGGTTCTCATGCTTGCCCCAAAATAGTAATACACCTTCCCAGCTGCCGGTTTCCTATTCTGTTACAGCAGTGCAAATGGGCTGAGATGTTTACTCTCCAGTTTTGCTGACTGTGCTTCTCCACGTTTCTTGAGGGTTTTAACAAAATGAAGCCAGATAACCAATAATCATAAGTATAAAAATAATGTAGGGAAGGAGAAGATGGTACTGCCATTGAACTAATCCAGTATGAGGCCTTTGGGTGAGACCCTGAAGTTTGTGTGACTTCACAGGATGGACTGTCTCCATGGGTACTTTCACTTCTTTAAAATAGGAGCATAGGTGACAGAGACCTCAGAAGGCCATCGTGAGGCCTTACTGAATAATTTGAAAGGCACTGGCCACAGCTCGAGAATGATTGTCAGCTGATATCAGTGCACCTGACAGCAGTGGTAGCTGGGAATAAAGCTTTCGTTTAAGTCTTGCAGCATCCAACACCTGGGGGTACCAAAGTTCGTGGAAGTTAAGAAGTTTTAAAATATCATATGACTAAGAAGAGTTGGATATTTAAACCAGGCTCACTTGAATCAGTGTTTTACTTTCAGACTACACAATGCTATAACTGTTCTACTGTGATTAGAAATACAAAATGTTATCAAAAGCTAGTGGAGTGGGGTATTACCTTTACCAACTGAAACTGTTCGGCAGAATGAGTCAGATCACACTCCAGAGTGGGCTATCTCATTTCTTGTGGTTCATTACTTATGACCTACACTGAAGGGAAAAAAGTAATATAAAGTGGGGGCCAGAGAAATAATTCAATGGTTAAGGGTGCTTATTTCATCCTGTGAAGCCACACAGACTTCATGGTCTCAACCAGAGGCCTCAAGGCTTCATATTAAATTAGTTCAAGGGTGATAACATCTTCTGCTTTCCTACACTATTGTAGAGGACCTGGGTTTTTCCCCAGCATCCACATGGTGTCTTAGAACCACCAATTCCAGTTATAGGTGATCCAACATCCTCTTCTGAACTCCTTAGACACCAGACATGCATGTGACGCACTTATGTACATTCAGACAAAACACTCATACATATTTACAAAAAAAATCCTCCACATGTGCATTGTGGATGGAGAAGTGTTTCAACAACAGTTAAGAGCTGCCCTTGCAGAGGACCTAAGTTCAATCCCCAGCACCAACTTGGTGGTTCACAACCACCGACACTCTGGCTCCCTGGGACCCAGTGTTTTCTTCTGGCCGCCTTGGCCACTGCATGCTATGCAGACATATATGTATAAAAAATATTAATACCCAACATAAAAATAAATACAGTTCTCCCTCTTATAAAATAAGGTATACAATGAGTTACTTGATCTGCCATTGTTTTTTTTTTACTTCCAAAGTAATTTTATGTATAACTAGAAAAGCACTCATTATGTCTTTTTGTAAAGATTGCATTTTGTTTAAGTCTGACTCACAGTGAGCAGGGAACAGTTTAGGGACAGAAATGAAACTTTCCAAGGCCAAGAGATACAAATCCTGGCCTATACTAGATGCCCCCCAAAAGAATGTCTTTTGAGCAAAATTCTATTAGAAGACACATATGCAATCTATAATAGAATAGAGTGGGACAAAAAGAATTCTGTTGAGTTAACCTGTCTCTATAAAATACAAGCAGACTGTGGGGAATATCAAAGTTACAGTCAAGAAAATGCAGTGAGTAGATGTTAGAGCCAAGACACTAGTTCTGCTGTAGGGAGGAAAGTTCTTTTTCAGGTACTTTCCTCTGTAAAAGGTGCTCAGAGATAAGATTCTAATGGTTCGTGTGAGGAGCAGAATTAAAAAATCAATCAATATTTTCATATCAAGAAAAGTTTGAAACTTAAGAGACTTGGCTATTAAATTTAGACCATACAGAGACTATTCGGCTTCAAAGACAGCCTAGGAGAAATTGGCTGTCGTTGATGTTTCCTATTAAAATGTATCCCATCCATCATCCTAATAGACCAGCCATATGATTTGTCCATCACATTATGAGAACAAAATGCTATCTTGTCTCCTTGATACTATATCTTAAAGAAAGAAAGAAAGAGAGAAAGAAAGAAAGAAAGAAAGAAAGAAAGAAAGAAAGAAAGAAAGAAAGAAAGGAAGGAAGGAAAGAAGGAAGGAAGGAAGAAAGGAAGGAAGGAAGGAAGCAGCGAGGTGGGGGAGAAAGGTTCTTCCACACTACTCCTTTCCCAATTGTTTTTGTAAAGTTGTTCATAAGACACAAGGTCTGGCATCAGGAATAATTATACTAAACCATGTAGAAATCCCCGAGGAAGCAGACAGGGAGGCTAGTGTTTGGTACACTAAAACTTACAAGGAAAGGACCAAGTCTGAGAGATGTGAAGGTGAATAAATCCTTTTGAGGAAGATCAAATGGGCGAGTTGGTCTTACCTGCCTAAATCAGCGTCTCTCTGGTACTCTGAGATGCAAGTACGATTAAGACAGATGTCTGAGGATGCATTTTGCTAACTGACAAAGCTATGTGCATGCCAGGCAGACTGCTGTGTGCGAAGATCGTGACCCACAGTAATCACGTTGGTCTCCAGCTCAGGATCAAGAAGAGAGGCCAGTTTGCTCTCTTCAGGACCAGGGCCGGGTCTCTGCTCCTCTCACTGCTCTCTCTGGAGATAATCAGACATAATTGACACTGTGGAGAATTCACGTAAGAAGAATTTTTTTTCAAACAATTATCTGTTTCTTATCTAATTTGGTCGGTGTAAAACACACCATTTTTCTGGATGCACCTATGATGAAAATTTGTCAAGACCAAAAATCATCACAAAGACAGAGCTCTCAGACATTACAAGCAAAAATGTCACAAATGTTGCTGAGAACATGTCCATTCCCTAAATCAACTTTTATTTGATTTCAACAAAGCATATACAGTGGATCTAAAGAAAAAAAATTCTTCATACCAAAATGGACAGAGACACCACTGTCTTCAGGAAGTGGTCCCTGCAATAGGTGATAAGCCTCTCTCCTAAACTGAGCTAGCCTCTGCCCTAAACAGGCCAGCAGGTGTGGCCACAATTCAAACAGATGTTTCCACATGTGGGAGCTGAGGTTTGAGGATTTCTCTGATGCCTTTGCCTTCTCCTTTACACCTGTCGTTGTGGCCGTGCGTGTTCAAGCTCTCCTCTCTATTCCCTCACTTTAGGTCTCAGCTTGGTAGAGCTGTGGGCTGTGGCATGCTATTTTCTCTCGTGTATTTTTAGATGATTGTTGAAAGCTTTTTTTCATATGGTTTTCGGGACTCTTGATTCAGACTCTGGCCTGTTTTAATGTGTGACTTTATAGGAAGGAGGAAAGAAGACAAGAGTGGAGAGATAAGAGACAATAGAAGAGAAGAAAGATGAAAGAGGGAGGGAGTGGAAGAGAAAGAGGGGGAAGGAAGAAGGGAGG